CCTCCATCATTGGGAGCGGTTGGGTTTACACCGTCAAGCCAAAATTTGATGGATCCCTTGATCAATATAAGGCTCGATTAGTTACCCAGGGCTATAGTCAGGAGTACAACTTTAATTATGAAAAAACCTTTGCCCCAGTTGCTAAGATCACTATAGTGTGTGTTCTCCTAACATTGTTTGTTGTCTAATCTTGGTCCATGTAATAGCTAGATGTTAACAATAACTTCATGGTCAATTGAAGGAGACCATTTACATGAAACCTCCTCTTGGTTATTGTAGTGATCCTTCTCTTGTGTGTTGCATAAAGAAATCTCTATATGGCTTGAAACAAGCTCCCCAAGCTTAAGGCCATAAAGGGGCTTCTTCAGTTTATAGACTTTCCCTTGCATCCAAGGTTCAAAGTATCAACACGTATCAGCCCGTATCAGCCGATACATATCATTCCGGAACCCCTCCAATACACCCCTACAGTGGATGTATCAAGGGTCTAATAAGTTCAAAGGGTGGAGGAGTTCTAAACCGGCCCCCTGGACTGGTTTGAAAAAAAATAATAAAAGGAAAAAAAAAGCTATCAAAACACCCGATACGCCCCTACCGGTGTATCGGGCGTATCGATATTTTGAACTTTGCTTGCATCTCCTTCCCATACACCCCTAAAGGTAAAGACAAATAGACCTCTTCATGTAAGTCCCCATTCAAGAAAGCATTTTTAACATCGAACTGATGAAGTGGCCAATCAAAAGTAGCAGCTAAAGATAGCAAAACTCAAACTAAAGTCATTTTGGCCATTGGGGCAAAAGTCTCCAAGTAATCAATACCATACATCTGAATGTATCCTTTAGCAACCAAATGGACCTTAAATCTTTCAATAGTACCATATGAATGATACTTGATAGTGAACACCCACTTACAGCCAATCGGTTCCTTTCCCTTGGGCAAATCCACAATTTCCAAGGTACTGTTCTTATGCAAAGCATCTAATTCAATCACCATAGCATCCCTCCATTCTAGTTTGGATAAGGCTTCTAGGACAGATTTGGGAGTCACATGTGTGAAAACAGAGGCAATAAAGGAACAATAGGTAGGGGAAAGAAGGTTGTAGGGCAGGTGTTTGGAAATGCAATGAATCGTACATTTCCGTTTGCCTTTGTGAAGAGCAACAGGGAGATCAAGGTCAGGGAAGGTATCAGAAGTGATAGAAGGGGGCTGACCTGTTACCTCAGTAGTGATGGGAGGTGCAAGAGGCTCATTTGAAGGTGTGGAAATAACCTGCACATCCCTGAGTCTTTGTCTCTGGTACCACCTTTAGACAATAGGATGGGAAGTAACTTTGGGAGGATGAGCATGAGGAGGAGGGGGAGAATGAACATGAGAAGAAGACTCGATGAGAAACTCAATAGAAGACTTAATGGGGATCGAAGGAGGGGTAGAGAGTGACATCGCAAACAACTCCTCTAAATGCTCCCACTAAGGAGAAGCACAAAAGAAAGGAACATACTTAAAAAATGTGACATCTCTGGAAGCAAAGCGAGTGCCACAAATTGGATCAAAACAACAATACTCCTTTTGTGTAGAAGAATATCCCAAAAAGACACTTTTGTGCTTTAGGCTCAAACTTATGTCTCTGATGACTGTGAACATGAACATAATAGGTGCATCCAAGCACTCAAAGAGGAAGAGAGAAGAAATCCTCATTTGGAAATAGGAGGCTAAAGGGGGTTTACAGAACTCGAGAAGGCATCCGGTTTATCAAGTATGTAGTTGTAAAGACAACATACCCCCAAAACTTAACAAGAACATAATAAGCATAAAGGAGACTCCTCGCAACCTCAACTACATGTCCGTTCTTCCTTTCTACCACTCCATTTTGTTGTGGAGTGTAACAACAAGAACTTTGATGAATAACTCCAAAGGTATCAAAGTAGGAGGAAAGGCTCTTCTCAAAATATTCCTTTGCATTATCAAATCAGAATATTTTGATCCGAGTATTAAACTAGGTAAGAATAAGTTCATGAAATTTTTGTACAATATTTGGCACTTCATCCCGAGACCTCATAAGGTAAATCCAAGTGTAACGAGAGAAACCATCAATGAAAATGATGAAATACTTGTAACCCCCCATAAAAGATAAATGATGTGGCCCCCACACATCAGAGTGCACAATATGGAAAGGAGAAACTGATCTTTTATTACTCAATAAAAAAGATTGTCTACAATGTTTTGCAAGTTCACATGACTCACAATGAAGACTCGATACGGATATTCCCTTAAACATTTCTGGAAACAAACGACTTAAAGTTGAAAAAGGCAAATGGCCAAATCTCAAATGACATAACATGGCTCTATCAACTGACTTTAATGAGATAGACTCCAAAGCTACTCCACTAGGTGGTCCAGGAGTTCAATCAAAGATATCCAACAAATATATTCCATTCGCCTCATGGCCACTCCCAATCATCCTCTAAGTTTTCAGGTCCTAAAAAACACAATGAGTAGGAAAGAAGGTAACGATGCAATTCATTGATTTTTTTAAGCTACTACTAGATAAAAGGTTAGTGTTAAGTTTGGGAACATGAAGGACAGAGGACAAAACAAGGGAGTAAGAGGCTCTAACATTCCCTTTGCCAAAGATGGGAGCAAGAGAGCCATCGGCGAAGAAAATTTTCTCTTTACCAGAGTTGATATGAACAGAAAAGGTTAGATATGTTAGTCATATGGTTTGATAGACCAAAATATGTAACCCAAGGAATTCTACAATTACCTGAGGCTGTAGCATGATTTGCAGAAGCACGAATACCTGAATGGGCAAATGCGGATGAAGAGGTGTTGCCTGAGGAGGAAGTTACAACAATAGTCTCCAAGTGATTAATTAACCTCCCATATCTCTCAAATTTTGCCTTCACTGCTACCAGCTGCTCCATAGTAGATTTTTCTTCACTTTCTCTATTTCCACCTTCAGATGTTGTAACAATATTTGCATTCTTGGGCTTTCTAGATTGACCACCTTTCTTAAAGTTGTTTCGAAACCTATCTGGGAGAAGATCTGGATGTAACAACATTTGCCTTCACTACTACCAACTACTCCATAGCAGATTTTTCTTCACTTTCCCTATTTCCACCTTTAGATGTTGTAGCAACATTTGCATTCTTGGGCTTTCCATACTGACCACCTTTCTTAAAGTTGTTGTTCCAAAACCTATCTGAGAGAAGATCTGGATGAAGTTTCCAACAAGTATCCTTAATTTGTTTCGGTTTCTTTCAGTATTCACATATCACCTCTTTCTTCTCAATTGGCCCCTTTGGTTTTATTCCAGCATGTGCAAAATGTTTTGAAGGTGGTGGACCCTATAACTGTACCTGTCACCTGCTCTCTTCACTGCTCACCATAGATATGCCTGAGCAAGTGTTGCTTCATCCTTGGCCAGAATATTTTGTCTCGTAGTATCAAATTTAAGGTTAAGTCCTGTAAGAAACTCAAACACCCTATTTCTTTCCACAAATTTCCTAAATGTCTCTACATCCTTGGTACTCTCCCATACAACTGATTTCATAACATCAATCTCCTGCCATAGTAACTTCAACATCGAGTAGTAGACAACTACACTCTTCTCCCCCTGTTTCAGATTTTTCACATCATTCTTCAGTTTGTAGGCCCTTGCAACATTCAATTTCTGAGAATATGTTTCTATAACACTATCCCAAATCTCCTTGGCTGAAGTCATCCAAAGATAATGTTGACTTATGTGAGGCTGCATAGAATTTACCAACCATCCAATAATTGTGTAGTTATCATGCATCCATTTCTCATATGTAGGATCAATCTCTTGCGGTTTCTCCTTATTGCCCGTGAGAAACCCCAATTTACCTCTACTACAAACATGAATCTTTATAGATTGTGCCCAAGCTAAATAATTTGTTCCGCATCAAGTTTGATTATAGTTACTCTTATCAAAATGGAATCTACGGGACCAACCCCCGACACCGGGATTTGCTTCATCTCACTTCTAGATTGCTCCATTGATCAAACAAAAATAAAAAAAAAAGGTTTTCAAGCTTTATAGACCTAACTGAGGTCAGACCAACACTTAAAAAAACCCAAAGTTAGGGTTTCACTATACCTGGCCTCCAGGGAGAAAGAGAGAAGTAGTCACTCCAACCAGAGCTTCCCAAACCTCTTCCAACTAATACCACCCACTTTTGGAGATCAAAAGGAACCTTCCAAGCCTTGAGAGCCACACCCAAACAGTCTCTTTAACCTACTCTCTAGGGTTTTGGGCAAAAAAATCAGCAGCTCCACTTTCTTGGCAATCCACAGGTAGATTCTAACTCTCCAAACCCTCTACCAACTAGGCATACAAGTTCTTTGAATAATCAACAACTTATCTCTCCATACACTCTTCTAATCGAAAAGTGTATGGGAAAAGAAAAGAAAAAGAAAAGAGGAGGAAGACCTGCTCTGATACCAAGATGTGATTCAGACCAATAAAAAATAGTAAAAATATTTCAGATTATAGTAGAAGAGGAAGAGAAGAAGAAGACAGCAAGAAGAAGGAGGAATGGAGAAGGGAGAAAGGAGTTTGATAATCTCCTCTTTCTCCTCTCTAATATTTTATTAATCTTACTAAGATTACATAAATTACAAGCCTGCCCTTAAGTGGGCATCCACCTCATCAGCATACTTAGAAAACATAAAAAGAATTAAAGGCCCATTAAGAACAAATAACAAGAAAGAACTAATCAATAAGACAGTAATGGGATAGGGCCCATTCGGCCCAGTCTCTCTACAGGAATTACTACTCTCATCATAAAACAATTTTCTGAATAGTTAATAAAATAGTTTACTCACTTCACAAAACTTCATAATCTACAATCCACTACATATAGATACTAAAGTATAGTGTGCCCCCAAACAATATAGGAAATTATTCAACCAAACAAAGGGAAAAGAAAATGTAGTGTGTAGAAGAAATGTGCAGGATACTGATGAAACAGAAATTTACCAGTTGGTGCATGCTCCATTTTGATATGAAAAAATTTTGTTCCCACCCCTCCACAAATGACATTCCATTCAAGAAGGTAGATGTAATATATCCAGGTGCACCTGTTGGTATACAACCATATAAGAATGCTTCTCTCCCTCCCAAAAGAAAAAGGAAAAAAACAAGGGGCTTCTGTGAAACAGATATATAGGCAAGACAAATCGGAATTTCGGGATCTCAAAGACTAAAAGGGAAAACTTAACACCTCTAGAACCTGGTATTTATGCATCATATACTTGTAACTGCAAGACATAAGAGCCCATTTTCATTACTTACCCCGGAATGGTGCAGCAATTGCAATCCAATTCTTCACATATTTCTCAAAAACCTGCAGAAGAACAATAAAATAGAAATTAAAACTTCTTGGTAGAAAACAACAATTGGAGATATGACAATAAGATCAAGAAGGTTCCTAAGTTACAAACATATTCTATAGAAGGCAACAAGTATCACATGAAAGAAGGTTTTTTTTTCGAAGAGTTAATATAACCATACACAACCAGAAGTCATATCAAATGAAAGAAGTTGACATGAGAAATGAAGCTATTACATCACTGTGCAAGCACATGAAACATTTCACCAATAAGCCCCCCATAGAGTGACTTATGATGTTGATCTTTTTCCCTCCAGAAGCATTATAAACTGACTCTAGTTTGGCAGTGAACCGATCCATGGTTTCTTGAAATCTGAAAGAAACATAAAATGTTAAAGACTTCATCTCAGGGGAAATCATCAAATATATGGCAGGACGGAAAAAATGAAAAGAGAGAATCAACACCACTGCAATTTTTTATCAATAGCAATAACATGATCAAAGGATTTCATTTATAATATAATAAAAAACAAAAAAGAAGAAAACCTCATATCAGAAAAATAGCGAGGACACTATAAAGTCATATCAGTATAATGAAGTAAGAGAAATTGAGTGAGTTCATAGTCAAGTCCTTTATTAGAAAACTGTCTAACACTAGAAGCAGCAGCAGTACCCCATACAAAATTGTTTGGAACCCATGGATGAAGTCAGATTTTTTTTAGTTGACCAGTCAAAGATTGCTCTTGTGGTTGGTCAGCCAGAATTGTTTTTCAAGGGCTTCTCGGGTGCAAGCCATATATGCTTTCTATTACCAAATGCCATAAAGCCTCTTTTTCTCTTGGGAACCTCCAAACCCACCTACCCAACAATGCCAAATTCTTTTCCTAGATCCTACCTATTTTTAACCCACCCAACTCTTTTGATTGGCATGCCTCCTCCCATTTCAAAAGAAGACTACTTTTGTTCTCTCCTGGATCCCACAAGAAATCCCTAATGACTTTCCAATCCTCTTCTCCACACTCACTGGGATTTTAAAAACTGACAAAAAGTAGACTAGCAGATTAAAAATATAGATACAACAAGGAGATGTCGGCAAAAATATAGATACAACAAGGAGGGGGGGTCAGCAACACAAAATTGATCGTTAGATTAAAAATATAGATACAACGAGGAGATGTCGGCAAAAATATAGATACAACAAGGAGGGGGGGTCAGCAACACAAAATTGATTGTTAGATTAAAAATATAGATACAACAAGGAGATGTGGGCAAAAGACAAAAAGCCCAATCAGAAACTATTCACTATTTACATCAATGCCCAGAACATAGATTGTCTCTGAATTCCTTGCTTTGCTAGACCATCAGCCGAACTGTTTGCAGATCTCCTAATCCCCTTATTTGGATTATCATGTCTTTAGAAATCTGCTTGAAGTGCCTAAATTCATTCCTTAACTTCCATATGATGTCATCCCCCTTTTTAAGGCAGCCCACAACTACTTTTGAATCACTTTCAATAATCAGCTTATCAACCCCCATTTCTTTAGCTTTCTCTACTCTGTAGACTGCTGCCAATAATTCTGATCTCACCACATCTCCATTTTGTTTTTTTTTAAAGAATCAGAATAAAAATTTCATTAAAATAGAAAAGAGTCATACGACCCAGGGGGTGTTAAGATTACAAGACTAGAATTATTGGCAGTCTTGTAATCTTAACAAGCTGATTACATTACACTAGAAAAACCAGTGAAAACAGAACTGATCAAGATTACAAGACTGTAACTCGAACATTCCAAAAATTCTCCCCCATCTCTGTTCTGCTAGTTTGAATGAAGTTCAGATGCACCAGGACCCAATCTGACAGATTTACAATCAATGCTAAAAGACCTTCAATGTTCTTCTGTTTGTTCTCAAATAATCTTCTATTTCCCTCATTCCATAAGACCCAGCAGTCTGCAAGAGGGATACAGCTCCATACGATCTTTGCTTTCTTGCACCCCTTAAAACTTGGCCAGGAGGAAAATAACTCTTCCATAGACGAAGGCTGAAATAAGTCAATTCCAAATAAAAAGTAGAAGAAACTCCAAATGATATGAGCCATCTTGCATGTGTAGAACAGGTGGAAAGCTGTTTCCTCATCCAAACAGCAAAGATAAAATAAACTTGCCATGTAGAAACCTCTATTCTTCAGGTGGTCTGAAGTTAAAATACTGTCCAGCGACACTAACCAAGCGAAGGCCTCCACCCTAGGAGGGATAGGATTCCCCCACACTCCCTCCACCTGATCCACAGTCATCTGCTCCCTTATCAGAGCCAAGTAAAAGGATTTCACAGTGAAAATCCCATTTTTGCATTCTTTCCACCACAATCTGTCTCTAGCAGCAGTAGAAATATCAACCATGGTTTCAAATGTCGCCAAATGTCGCTTATGTCGCCCAACATATGTCGATGTCGAGGCTCACCGACATGAAAATGGATGGTAATATAAAAATTACATTATGCCGGTCGACATTTCCTATATTTTGGAAATATCGACCAAATCGGTCCAAATAACCAAAAAAATACACTTTTTCCTATTATGTCAACAAGATGTCGACTAATGTACATTAAAAATATAATATATTAGTATATTATATTAATATAATACAGTATATTAATAAAGATTATTCCATTGATAATTTCTATTTAATATTTCAAATAAAATATTTATAAAACAGAATTAACAAAATATAAAAACAAAAGAATAAATTAATTACTTTATAATATAAAACATAAAATATTTTTCAAGTAATAAAATATTAACTAGTTAGTATTTTTTTAAATATTTATTAAAATCAGAAAATGTTTATTAAATTTTATAATAAAYCATATTCTACATTTRATAYAAAAAATCAGAATAAATTTAATTTATTATAAATTTAGTATTAAAAATCATAATAAATTCATTAAGTTTTATAAGAAATCAGAATTTATCATAATCTTAATACTACAAAAAGGAGAATCAGTTTATTAAATTTATAATAAAACATAATGTATTATAACTTTAATATTTTAAAAAATCAGAATAAATGTATTTCTATTTACTAGTGCAAAATAATTATATTAGAATTTATAATAAATCAGAATTAAAAATAGGAAAAGAAAATATCAGATAACCTTGTAAAAACATCAAAATGCATAATAAATCAGTAAGTTGTCATTTACTAATTTGTTATTGATCTTAGTTTCTTAGCTTTATATAATGGTTGGGAATAAGATAATAGTCTAGAAATATGTATTAATGCTTCTTTTATCATTTTACAAAATATCTTTGCATATTTCCACAATGTCTCTAACATTTACAATATTTCCCCTCGACATTTCCGACATATGTCCTATATTTTGGTAAGCGACATTTCCATCGGCATCGACGTTTTAAACCTTGATATCAACCTATTGCAGCTTTTCTAACAGAAGTATACATTCCTCAACTTCCTAATCTCTCAACAGCCTTCTAAACTTTGGGCTCCACACCAATTGGTCTCCTCTCATCTCAAAGCATTGATCCACCCTCAACTGCTAATCAAAGAGTCTGTAAAGTCTTGGACAAACCTCCCTTAGCTTCCCAACCACATCTCCATATTGAATAGGCCCCGAGTACTGTAGAGATAATGGGCCGAATGGGCCTTAGTTTCTTTTTTTTTCTTTAAGTTATGCTTATGACTTGTGTTAGCAGGTAGTGAGCCTTAGTTATGGGCCTGTTTTATTGTTTTTTATTGCTGTCTTTAGTGGACGCCCTACTAAGGGCACCACACATAATTGTCCTTATTTTTTACAACAAAAGAATAAAAGAAATCATTGGGGGCTGAAGAGAGGGTTTTAGAACAACTCTCTCTTCTTCCTTTTCTTCAATCTTCTTCCTCCATCACTTCTCTCTCTTCAAAGTTCAATCTCCTTTTCTCCTATTTCTTTTCTTTTAATTTAAATTATTGCAGGTGTGATTTACAACTTGGTATTAAAGCAAGTTCTCACCTTCTTTTCTTTCTTCTCTCTTTGCCCATACACAGTGTGTATGGAGAATTGATTCGCTGATTAAGGAGCAGCTTATGTAGCCCAATTGGGAGGGATTTTTGGAGAGATTTTGTGAAGTTTTTAATCCCCAGTTGAATCCCAAGGCAGGTTCTTGGAGATTTTTCCCAAAAACCCTAGATAACTGGAGAAAACTAGTTACAAGTCCTAGAGACACACTGAATCTAGCGCTGGACATCAAAGGGTAGCCTTTTGATTTTCATTAAGGGTGATTTGAGTTGAACAAGGTTCTAGAACCACTGGTAGAAGCGGTTGAACCTTCTCCTCTTCTCCCCTTCAGGTGGGTCCTGTGAAACTCTAGATTTGGTTGTTTAAAGAGTAGTTTTTTGCTTAGGATAGCAATTCTAACTCAGTTGAGACTTATTTTGATCGCTGTTTCACTCAATGGAGCAAACTGGAGGAGAAACCAAATATCCCATAGATTCCAAGTTTGGACATGGGGGCTTAATGGAGAATCTTTTTGGGGCAGTGACCATTGTGAAGCTGGATGGGACCAATTATTTAGCCTGGTCTCAGTCTATTAAGATACATGTGTGTAGTAGAGGGAAATGGGTTATATCACCAGAAGCAAGAAGAAACCAAGGGAGGCTAACCCTACCTATGATTGGTTAGTGAATTCTATGCAGCCACATATTAGCCAGCACTACTTGCGGATGGAAACTACAGAAGAGGTGTGGGATAATGTCATAGAGATTTTTTCCCAAAAGTTGAATGTTGTTCGGGCTTACAAATTAAAGAATGATGTGAATAATCTAAGAGAAGGGGAGAAGCCCTTAGCTGTTTACTTTATGCTAAAATCTCTTTGGCAAGAGATTGATTTGATGGAGATTATGCTTTGGAGGTGTATAAAGGATGCTGAAACACATAGGAAGTTGGTGGAAAGAAATCGGGTTTTTGAGTTCCTTAACAAACTCAACCCGGAGTATGATATTGTGAGACAAAATGTTTTGGCGAAGGATGATGTGACTTTATCTCAAGATTATGCTATGGTGAGTAGTGAGGAGAGCAAGAGACAAATTCAGTCTGTAGAGCCACAGATGGATCACTATGCTAATGCCAGGATGAAACCGAAGGTCAACACTAGGATGAAAGATGTTTGTGAATACTATAAGAAGCCTAAACATACTAAAGACACTTGTTGGAAGTTGCATCCAAAGCTTATACCGGCCAATCTCAAAAATGCAAACAATGGAAAAATGAATGAAAATATTAAAGGTGGAAATACAAATGTAGCCACCTCATCACATAGTGAACAGGGGGCATAGTGCTGAGAAGTCAGTGGGAGAGCAACTAGCAGCCACCAGGGCTGAGTATGAGAAGTATGGCCAAATAATTAGTCACCTGGAGCTACTACTACATCACCTACTTCATCAGAGACAGTTCCCTCTTCATCCGCATATGCCCATTCAGGTATTTGTGCTACTGCGAATCATGCTTCTATCTCAGGTAATCGTAGGATCCCTTAGATAATTGATTTTGGTGCCTCTGACCACATGACTAGTGTGTCCCTTTATTTTCTACTTACCAGCTTTTATCTAGCCGAGATAAGATCACCCTTGTTGATGGCTCTCTTGCTCCTATCTCTAGCAAGGGAAACATCAGAGCTTTAGACACCCTCACCTTATCCTTAGTTCTTCATGTTCCTAAATTAAACACTAATTTGCTTTCAATTAGTAATTTGACAAAATCTTTGAATTGCAGTATGACAATTTTCCCTTCTTACTATGTTTTTTAGGACATGGACTCTCAGAAGGTGATTGGGAATGGCCATGAGGTGAATGGGATATACCTACTGGGCATGCCTAGAAGTCAAGTATCACCTCTGATAGCAGCTTTTGGTTCAAATGTGTCAAAGTCAATCAGCCGTATTATGTAAAGTCATTATCATTTGGGTCATATTTATTTTTCTTTGTTGAATCTGTTGTTTCCAGTTTTATTTAAAGAAACTAAGTTGTCAAGTCTACATTGTGACCCATGCGAGTTTTCAAAGTCAAGATTAAGAGTTGCAATGATCTCTTCCTCTGAAAGCTTCTCAAACACGACACTATCTATGCTGGACTGGCCATCAGAATCTTCTTCCAGGTCACAGTCTACCCAGCCCTCATCGGTACCCTCCTTCTCCTCGTTGCAATCTCTAGTGTACCTGGGATTTGGCCGGTCCTGTGATGACCATCCCTCCTAGGTATATCAGAATCTTGGTGAGAAACTCACTGTAAGGAACTTATGTTCTGCTCTATCCGCTTGGTAGACCCTTGAGCACCCCCAAAAGCCTTCTTCAAAGAAGAAGATAGACGATTTCTAGCGTCTATAGTCCCCAATAACTTCCCCTGATGCATGTGCTCACTTAAACAGTCATTGGGTTTCAACCCTGTGTTTGAACCGGTCGGTCCTCCTACTGGTTCAGATAGACCGGTCTGCACCAACCCTTTGTCTAGTCCACCCCCCTTCTTAACCACGTCAGCAAATGAAGCCTGGGCCCCTAAAATTCCACTTGATTTAAAAAATTTAAATTTTTTTCTTTTAATAGCTTGCGTGTCTTTTGGATTTCTCCCACTGACTTTCCAGCTTCCCCTTATGCCCAGCACTGATCTTCGATCTTTCTCTCCACCACCTGTGTGCCCCATGTAGTCCAGCCCTCCACGTCAGCATCGTCTCCTACCTTGGCTCTTCGTCCCCAGAGCTCCACCTCTACCTCTGAGACCAGCCAAACTCTAAACCAAGCTCTATCAGCAAGAACCTCAATTGTTCTTGGGAGCGATTCTGGTTTCACCCCAACAATCCTAACCTCCGCAGCAAAGTCTTGCAACTGGAATTCCTCCATTGCCCCACCCAACAGCTTCACTATATTTCCCAGATTTGATTCATTCAAGAGATGAAAGGGAAGTCCTACCAGTTTTAGCAGGAAGCTACCACAAGTATGTTCCATCTCATTACACAACGGCTTCCAATTCTGGACTTGGACCATACCTTCTTCACATTCAAATGTTGTAAAGCCCTGTTTACCTCGTTATCAATTCTTAACACCGCCTTCCTGCCTGAGAATGGTTTCAGAGCAACCTCAGTTTCCAGATTCAAGTTATGCACCACTGATTTTAGTACCTTCCTCCAATCCTGTACATCCTTGTTAACTGTTATCACCATTCTCCTCTCCCAATCGCCTTGCTCACCCTCAAACCACAATTTCATTCCTCTATTAGAGATCAGTATTGTGTCTCCACAGCTAAAGGAGCTCTGATTTAATGGCTGGCTCGAACATTTAAGAGGGCTATCTTTGGTACTTTGTTCTTGCTCCTGCTCCAAGTGTCTGTCAACAGAGATAAGAAACTGCTGCAACTCATCTGCAAAAACCATCCAACCTTGTGTCTGCTTCCCTTCCGGTAAACAGACCATTTGTTATGGTAATGAACCAGCCTTTCCCGTTGCGCCTCAGCTCCACTTCGTACTTCTTCTTTTCCAGCTCTAATACATTTTTCCAACCTACTGTCCTAAACAATTGTAGTACACCATCGATAAAGCCCTTCAACCATAACACTGCTTCCTCAAACAAAAGTATCATCGCCTTCCTGTCTTCCCTAACTTTTAGCAGATTCTTACCTCTGGCCCTTCCACTCTCGATTAAAATTTTCTTCGCTTCAATGTTCAGTTCAGACTTCCACCTATTCACCGCCTGAAAATCTTCATCGCCTTGCCTCTCCATCACCTTTAACTTCTTCTTGAGGATCATCTATTAGTTCAGAGCAACTTTAGACAAGCCATGAACAAGCTACATCTGAAATTAGGCAATTCAGACTAGCTAAAACAACGTGAACACCAACCAGAGGCAACTAAGCTGTAAATAGTTCATAGTACACAGCTAATTTTGTTATTTTGTAGTTCAGACCATGATCCTCCCACCCCTGATTCTCCTTTCCAGCAAGGATACAAATAATCTGCCTTTTTCCCAATCCAAACAGTTCAATCAGTTGGATGAACTCTACCTTGTCATTTTTCTTCTTCTCCACTATGATTTTTTTCTTTGGCATACAAAGTTCCCCTTTCCAACCTGTCTCTGTAATGACAAATAATATGCCATCAAAGAATCCTTTGAACCAGCTTGAATCCTCCCTACTTAAGATCACCGCAAATTGTTTGTCCTCTTCGATTTTTACCGCCAACCCTCCACCTAGTTCTTCCAACAGAAATTTCTTCTTCTCTACACCTAGGAATTTCTTCCACCTAGTCGTCAGAACAAACTTCTCCTCCATGTTCTTTCCCGCATTCAACTAGGGGCTTCCACAAGGCTAATCTCTTGACAAACTTTTCAATGATGCCCTCCCAAAAAGACGCATCTCTAGGATTACCCCCCCAACAGAAGCCCTGGGTATTTAACTAGCCAATCTCGAATTTCACAACCGAAGATGGCCACAGACCACCCTCTCCAACCTAATATCCATCAACCTGCATTTCCCTAAATCAATTTTCAACCCTGTTTCCCTCTCAACTATCTCTAGAATCTGCCTCAAAGCCTTCACATCTTGAATTTCCCTAAATTCCCCCAAGATCAAGGTATCATCTACAAACTGTAAGTGGGACACCACTTGGATTTCTCCCCCACTCTAAAACCTTGAAAGATATTTCTCTCACCATCCTTCTTCAAAAGTTTACTAAATATCAGCCACTAAAGTGAATATCATAGGTGACAATGGGTCCCCCTTCCAAGTGCCCCTTGTTGCCTCAAAGAAATCTCTTGGGAAGCCATTAATGAGGTTTGAGAAATGGGTAGTCTTCAAGCACCCCATAATCCATTTATCCATCTTTGACCAAAACCCATTTTCCCCAAGACCCACTGGAGAAAACCCCAATCAACATGAACATAAGCGTTTTCCAATCCAATTGAAAAACAAATCCTTTCCTTCCTGACTTTCTAATATTTTCCATTGCCTCATCATAAATCAAGGTTTAGTCCAAAGTATGCTGATCCTTTACAAATGCCCCTTGTTCTTTTGATACCACCAAATGAAGCACTTAAATCTGGTAGATGGCACTTTGGCCACAATCGTGTACAAACTTGTAGTTAGACTAATGGGTCTAAACTCATTTGTAAAGGTAGCCCCAACACATTTCAGAATTAAAGAGGCAAAAGTTACATTCATCCCTTTTCCCACCTTCCCCTTCTATAAAACTCTTCAAAAGCTGGTTTTAGATCCTCTTGAATTATTTGCCAACATTCATGGAAGAAGACCATAGTGAATAAGTGAAATCATCTTGTCCGGGTTTTAAGCTATAATGTTATGGAGCACACTGTACAAATACCATGCAATATCCAGTGTCATTTTATCATTAATTAACTAAATTAGAAACCTTTCCTTTACTAGAGTAAGATTCCTAAACCTAAACCCTAATCTCAAACACCCCTTCATTTAAAAAACCACTTTCCTTTGAATTGTAATTAGTTTTTCCTCACTTTTTGCACCAATCTGCCTATATTTAGCCAAATTTCCCCATTGGCCTAATATTAATAATTGATAGCTTCTCTATTTTTTTTTTGGTAAATTGATAAGTTCTCTAATAACATACAATAAAATAAGCACAAATGCATGGAAAATAAAGTCCTTTTAACTAGTCAATGCTAAATTTGCATCCTTGGAAAAACCGTTCTGTCCAAGACCAAAATTATCGTAAATTATCATCATCTGTGAAAAAAAAAACTTTAAATACTTTCTTAAGTACAATTCATACAGATTATCTGTCAAAGATCATTTTGCCTTCATTTTCTCATATAAGTACAAAATGTTTTTTTAATGTATAGAATTGTGTTCAACTTATACAGCAGAATAAAGTCTTTCTAACTGACCATTATAGTAAATTATCAAGTTGCATTTAGAGAGTTGCATACCTATTACTTTGGCGGAAATCATAACCAAATCCAAATAATGTTTTTCCCTCTTGAAAACCCCACTTTATCATTTCCACTATCATGTCATGGAAATAATAAACACATTCACGTCCAATAATCTGCAAAACATAAATTAGTTCAAAATTCGTAACATAATATAAAATATTTAACCATTTCACTTTTACTGATTGTTGGAAGGATTGGAAGTTGGTAGCAAGTTGTTCCTCCTACAAGGGAAGGGAAGTGACTAGCTGGGTCCCCCCTCCTCTTGGCTCTTGGAAGCTGAATTTTGATGGGAGTAGCCAGGGTAACCTGGGTCCTCTGGGATGGGAGGTATACTGAGGAATGAGGCTGGAGAGGTTGTCTTAATCTACTCTGGCCCTTTAGGAGTTGGGAACTCTATCTGGGCAGAACTGTTAGCTGCAATACAAGGAATACTTCTTGCAAAAGAAGTGGGCATGGAGCAGCTTCTGATTGAAGGAGACTCTAAGACAGTGGTGGACTGGTTAAATAATCCGGAGGATGTCACTTGAGGCTACAAAAATGAGTTAAAGAAATTCAAATGGCTGACAAGAAATATGTCTATAACAGTAAATGGGTAGGGAGATCAGCTAATGCTTTTGCTGATGTCTTGGCAAAACAAGGGATAAATAGGGAAACATTGTTCTGGGCACAATTGTAACTATTGTTTTAATTGCAACACTCATGTTTTCTCTGTGTAGTTTGTGTATTTGCTGTTTGGAGAGGCTGCTCCTTGTGCCTCTAAGGGGATTTTCTTGTATCTATTCATTATTTTAATGGAATTGATGTTATTTATCAAAAAAAAAAACATAATATAAAATATTAAATCAATGTTGGCAGAATCTTAAAACACAGTTTCAGTAGGTTTTAGTTAAAAGAAGGATATTTAAAAGAGGAAAGTCATGTAAAACTCCTAACTTCTCAAGAACTTAATATTTAAAATCCTTCATTCCATTCTACTTTGGCACCCAAATTTCATAAAACCACTTTCTTTGTGCATGTATAGATAAGGGGTGGGGTTTATAATTTATCCATTTTTGACATGTTTGGGACAAGCTAAAGCTTTTCAAGAGAGGAGTAAGTGCAGTGCGTAGAGCTGCCAATAAGCTATCTGATTAACTTGCAAGAGAAGGTAATTGCAATCTCAAGCTTGCACAGGAGGCCCAGGCAGAGGGATGCATTTGTAAGGACTTTCTTGTTTGACACCTGTATTCTCTGATGCGATTATGATTATGAATTTCCAGCTATTGTTTGCTCACTTATTAGATTGTTCACCATTTTGAACCTAGATTACTTCTCTTATGAACTCCATCAAGCTCAACTCCAATGTATGTTTTCTGACTAAGCTTATACCCTCTGTGAATTTGAGCTGCTTTTATGGTTGGCAATAGGAAAATTTACTAACTTGTGTAAAAATGATATATACTATAGAATGTGCAAAGCACCCATATTGGAAATTTAGGCTAGCAACTGCTAATTAAACCCTTTTACAAACATTTTACATAGCAAATTTGAGATACTTTTTTAAATAGTAATGGTGAAACAACCCCATTGCAAGGTGTTCTGACTTCTGAGTGATGATATCTTATTCTTCTTACAAGGTCCCAGACTTCCCCATTCTAACAGTTACAGGAGATTACCAGATAGGCTGTGGAAGGAGACTTGAATTTGGGGATTAGGTGGCTTCTAAGCAAGTTTGGAGAGTCATGAAGATTGATGCATTTTATTAGGGATATCCGCTTGTCTGCTAGTTTTTATATCTCCCCTTTAAAGCCAAGGTCAACCAAATCTACATCTGACAACCTCATACAGACGGGGTGCATTGGAACCCTTTGCATTACAACTTGTAAAACCAGGTTAGCTCTTTTTTCAAGGCTTTACGAAACATCGGTTATTGAGCCTATGGTTTCATTTGCACTATAGATGCCTATGATTTTAATCAAGTTGCATTATTTCTTGATCCCTTATTTTTTTAATAAACTTGTTATTCATCATCAAATAACAAGTTTCTTTCTTGATTTTAATCAAGAAAGAAAGAAAGAAATGATAGATTGGCCAACATGAGAATGCAGGTTCGAGTCTGAAAGTGGCCACTTTGTGCAAAAAATGTCAAAGGTTTACCCCCTTCCAAGACCCCAGATAGCTGGGACTAACATTGGTTGGTAATGAGCTTGGTTATAACAAGCTAAAAACTTATTAGTTGTGATCTGAAAAGTCTTTGACTTAAGCTAGTCTACAAAATGTAGCCTCTATTCCTTAAAAATCAACAAAACTCATGTTCTCACAAATAAAACCAATGACAAAAAACAGAATTAGAAGAATTCACATTGGCACCCCTCGGAGCACATCCCACAACACATCCAAATCGTGCATTGGGAACACCTCCCCATGACAAGTATGGGAGATGTTCCCAATGCACACTGAAATGTGCTTGTGGAGTAAGTGTGGGGCATGCTCTGTTGGGAACCACTCCAAACTCGAATTAGAATCAATTCCTACTTATCAAGTATAAGTGTTTGAGTGTTTTTACATAATAGTACCATGTCAGGGTCCAAGACGTCAATTGCATACAACCCGTATCTGTCTTCAGGCACAACAATTCTTGTTTTTGAATCCAAAGAAACTGTTTCCCCTGTTCCATGGAATTAATAAACATTTAGAGCATCTTGGAGTTGAAAATAATAATGAACCGCTCATCTCTTATCTAAAATAAATTGCCAATGGAAAAGAACTATTAAGAGAAATACCATGATTAGAAAACTATATTTACATATTAATTCAATAGTCAACAATTAAAGCATGCATACACGGTACCCATAAAGAAGGAACCATTCAATTCAACAAAGCAATAGAGTGAGTATGAAAGCATTACAGCAACAGTAAATTCCTTTCAAGGATATCATGTACATACTGAGCTTATACATAATGCATCATGAGCTAAAAGGTGCTCTATTTAGACTATGTTTGGATTCGATTAGAAGCAGAATGCAATCCCCCTCCCTCCCCTAATTCAGCTGAATCAAGATAACTACCCTCCCTACCCCAACCCCAGACAAGGATGGAAATCAAGCTGCCCAATCAGCACGTTTCTTGATTATGCTCTCTTTTCAGACCCATACTACAAAATCCAGAAACTTGTGGAATTGTAGGGCAAAATCCTCCCCCGATCTTGTTTTCACTGCCACCCAAACTTTCCCTTCTATCTTTAAATTGTAAGGCAAGCCATGGGTGCATGAGCTGAACTTAATTCCCGATGATAGCATTAACCAAAGGAAGCAACCTGTCTCTACCGAAGAATATAGAAACAGGACTATTGGATCAATCCCCTTGACTTAATTAGCTGAGATATCGCATAATCTGCAGTTGTAACTAAAACTCACTAAGGATTTTATTTCCGCACTTCAACTGAGAAATTACGCCTTCTATTTGCAATTTTGCCTTCCTTAAATGAAGCATTTCAAACTCAATAATTCAGAAAGTCTTTTCCCTAATAAACCGTACCAGTAGAAGGATCAAAACGGGACCATAGCTTCGTCCTGAATGTGTAATCAGCAGCAAGAAGCCGAACCCAGACTCGCTCCGTTTTACCATTATCGTCTTCAGCATTCAGGATTGAACCAGCAATTCCAGGAACCAACAGGACCGGGTCAAGATCAGGGTTAACATAAGGCTGAGGCGGTGGCTTCTTAAGGATCCGCAAGAGCAACTCCACTGACTGAAGAAGATCATCCATTGCAACTGCCATCTCCAATTGAAACCCTATAACCCCCAAGATTTCTCAGAATTTTCAAACAAGACAACGAAATTCAGTAAAATCCGAGAATAAAAGTTTGAAATCTTCAAGGTGTTTAGAAATTCTGAGCTACAATAGAATTCAAATTCGTAAGAAGGAAGAGAGAAATGGAGGAATATTTCAGGGTTTCAGAGCGGAGGTTGCCGTCGGCGACTCAAGGTGGTTGAGTGAGTCGTAAAGCAAAAGAAACAGCAAGGCTTCCTCAGTCGACAACGTTGTCCGAGAAGAAAGAACACTAAAAACAACAAATTATATGTATCCAAATAGACCATCTATAACCGTCCGATTGGAACGAACCAAACCAATTATCCCAATCGACGGTTTCCAGAGTCGATATTACCTATATAACAGACAATCGGAACTCGTAAAAGATGAGTCAACAAAGTAACTGGAGGCTAAGAAGTGAAACACGTGGAAACATCGGCAGATCTACGATACCTAATTAAATCTCATCCGTTAATTGGAGAGACATGTTGACGAGCTATCAAAAAACGTTGGGCTCCGTACGCATCAGATCATGTACGTATAACCTTGATTCGTTCATAATCGAATTTGAATCGAATCTTATCCGTACTATTCCTTTTTATTCAATACGATTAATAAATTAATCCAAATTCTTAAAATTTTGGATGATGATGATGATGAGAACATCTAATTCTTATAATATTTTTTATATTTTTAATTGTATAAAAGTAATTTTTATTTATCATATTTATTTTGTTATTAGAAATGTACCTGATATTGTATATCAYGATGATCATGACTTTCATTTTATCAAAAAGAAGAAACAAAGAAAGTGATGTGTCATCATCGTCAATCATCATTCCAGACTTATCCCAACTTCATGATATTTTAGATCTTTAAGAACATGTTTTCACCTAGAAATTTTGGATGATGATGAGAATAATAATGTCTAATTTTTATAATATTTTTATATTTTTAATTGTATAAAAGTAATTTTTATTTATCATCATCGTCAATCATCATTCCAGACTTATCCCAACTTTATAATATTTTAGATCTTTAAGAACATGTTTTCACATGATGATGAGAATAATACTGTCTAATTTTTATAATATTTTTATATTTTTAATTGTATAAAAGTAATTTTATTTATCATATTCATTTTGTTTAATGTAATAAACTAGCGGAGGGGCCTAGCTTCACAGAGGCTGGAATGAAATCGTTGATCTATTGACTCGGTTTTTATTCAAAAATTGTTGAATCGGTCAATGACCTATTGATCTAAGTAGTCAAACCATTGACCCGTTGACTTGTTCAATGGCTTTTGGTGCTGTTTTTTATTTTTTTAATCGGCCATTCTGGCCAGATTCCGTTTTATCCTAATCTTGGTTCGTAGCCAAAAATCGTTGAATCGGTCAATGACCCATTGACCTGAGCGGTTGAACCGTTGACCTGTTCAATAGTTTTTTGTTGTTTTTTTATTTTTTTTAATTTTTATTATGAGAACGGGCCATCCGTTCAAAGTGAACAGTCGAACCGTTGACCCAAAAACCAGTGGCCGGAACGGTTCCGTTTTCAGGTTGGATAAGTCACACGCTCCAATGACATAACACGTATGGTAATGCATAATGGACTTCACACACATAATATTTTGCATGTAATTTTTGTTGTCAGAATGGGTCATCCGTTTTTTTTTATTTTTTTAATTGGAAAATGTACAGGCAAACTAGTTCCGTTTTACCCCAATCCTGGTCCCTAGCCAGGAACCATTGAATCGGTCAACGACCCATTGAATGGTCGAATTGTCAACCCATTGACCTATTCAATGATTTTTGGCTATTTTCTAATTTTTTAATTTTTGTTGTCAAAATGGGTCGTCTGTTCGAACCGGACGGTAGAATCGTCAACCCGAAAACCGGTGGCCAGAATGATTCCATTTTTGGGTCGTATGAGTCACACGCTCGAATGGCATAACATGTATGATATTGCTCAATGGACCTCACACACTCAATTTTTTGTCTATAATCTTTGTTGTCAAAATGGACTGTCCATTCGAACCGGACAATCGAACCACTAACCTAAAAACCAATGGCCAAAATGGTTCCGTAAATTTTTGCTTATAATCTTTTGCTGTCAGAACAAGTTGTATAAACAGCCGAACCATCGATCCAAAAACCGATGGCCATAACAGTTCCGTTTTCGGGTTGTATGAGTCATACGCTCAAATGACATAACACATATGTTACTACTTAATGGACTTCACAAACTCAATTTTTTGCCTATAATTTTTGTTGTCATAACGGACTGACCGTTCGAACTGGACGGTCGAACCGTCAACCCAAAAACCGGTGGCCATAATGGTTCCGTAATTTTTTACTTGTAATTTTTGTTGTCAGAACGGGCCATCCGTTCGAACGGAACGATCGAACCGTCGGTTGTCAGAAAAGTTATTAACAACATTTATCAATAATATTAAGTAATTATATTATTTAATTAAATAATCATTAATGATAGTTTTAATAATATTATTTAGTTATTTCTAATATAATAGTAATTATTAAATTTATGAATAGGATTTATTAACAATATTCATTAAATTAATAATTACCAAAATTAAATTAAATTAACAGTATTTATTAGTCATAGTCAATAATTATAATATTTTATTAAATAATCAATAACAATACTTTTAACAACATTTTTAATTATTTTGAATATAACAATAATTACTATATTTATTAACAGTATTTATAATTTTTATTTAAAGTAAGATTTAAGTAAATATCTATTTATTAATAATATTTATAATAACAGTAATTATTAATTATAATCACTAATTATATATTTATTAAATTACTGTAATAATCAATAATTATTATTACAGTAATTAATTACTGTAATTAGTAATTAAAGTAAATTTTAAGTAAATATCTATTTATTAACAATATTTATAATAACAACAATTATTAATTGTAATCACTAATTATATATTTATTAAATTATTGTAATATTCAGTAATTATTACAGTAATAATTATATTATTATAGTAATTATATTATATTATTACAATAATTAATTAGTAATTATTGTTATAATTAATAATTAATTACTAGAAATGGGTCCGTGTTATTACACTATTAATTATTGTAGTTAATTAATAAATAATATTATTAGTTATTATTTATGGTTATTAATTAATAATTAATTACTAGAAATGGGTGCTCGCATGTGGGATCTACTCGCACGAGTAGATTCCATTTCCTGAGTGCAGAGAGCACCCATATCCTTTTATATATATATATATATATATAAGACGTATAGAATATTAGAGATGTACTTAAATGCTTTTTATAAAACTTATAATATTTTATTATTTAATTATGACACCATAGGTTGACCAATTTGACCCAGGAGGTTTAATTGCTTATTCACCACATGGTCAAAAAACAATCTCAAAAAACTTTACATTATTAAAAGTATTGGATAATTATCTTATAAATAAATTTATTGGTGAGAGAAATGCCTTAATATAAGATTTAATGAGAGAAAATTAGTGTTAATAGCTCAAATATAAGAGTTTGTAAGAGGGTATTGAATGAGATGAACATTAATAGTTCAAATTACATTTTATGATGCTATAATTAGAGAGAAGGACTAAATTTAAAAATAAGGGTATTTTAGTTAAAAAAAGTCCATAAGTTTATATATAGTATGCATGTGTGTGTCATTACCAAAAAAAATTATATATGTATATGTATTCAATTTTTTTACAATTTTTTATATTTCTATATCATCACCATCACCATCATCATCATCAATGCCTTATCCTAACTATATAAGGTTGACTACATAAATTAGTGCTTAAATCATTTTTAGTACTTCTATCCCAACCTTTTCTAGCTCCTTCAATGTAATGAATATATAATATTGTAGATGTGGCCATACATATTTATATATCATATAAAAATAATTATTATTTATCACACTTACTTTTGTTTAATATGATGAATATACGATGTGCTCAAATGTTTCCTATAAAATTTGTGTATTTTTTCATTTTTGTGTTTTAGTATTTTTATTTTTTATTATTTAATTATGACATCAAAGGTTAACACATTTGACCCAAAAATTGAATTGTTGACTCGCCACCAAATAGGAAAACAATTTCATGTTTTAGTTGATTTTAAATTTTGTATTTCATTCCATTTTCAATAAAAACCAATGTTTTCGAATCATTGTTGACCCGGATGGTTGGACCATTCAGACTAGAAACTGGTCACTCCAGGTTTACCTCGAACTGTCTTTTTGTGAAAAAACATTGAAAAAGTCAAAAAACCGCCCACCCATTCGACCCAAGCAATGGTTAGCGGTACAATATTTTGTAAATTTTGTTTTTTTATTTTTATTTTAAAATAAAACAAAAAATAAAATGACAAATATATCCTAAATTCCTAACTTCTATTCCTAACCTTCGAAAGTATCCTCTTAGGGTTTTGTTTTGCCAAACCCAAAAGCCCCTTCAGACGTTCACTAAAGACGACTGTGGCAATACACTGGTGCCACCTTTCCCAGAATCCGAGCAAGCACCTGCCGGCGACCAAAGTTGCAGAGGCAGTCAACGACCAAAGCTTTGACTTTCGAGTCTTTCTCAACCGCATCTTGAAAGGAATGGCTCCAGTGACTATCTTCGTTGTGGCGACCATTGTGGACTCCAACCTCCGACGACTATCTTCACTGTGACTACTGGCAACCACTGTGATTTTTTAGGTAACTAAGTGAGTCGGCAACCACTGTGATTTTTTAGGTAACTAAGTGAGTCGGCAACCACTGTGATTTTTTAGGTAACTAAGTGAGTCGGCAACCACTGTGATTTTTCAAGGAACTGAACCACCATTATTCAATTTAGATTTCAATTCTAACCTCTCATTTAGCCATTTGAATGATTTTTAATTAACTCTTTTTTTTTTTTTTGCAATACTATGATTTTTCAAGGAACCAAACCACCATTTGCGCAAATAACCACTCCATTAGAGTCGAGAACCATTGCAAAATCTGAGGTTGAGGCATCCCCTATTTTTCAATTTTGATTTAAAGCTTAAACTGGTATATTTCTTTCTAATTTGAAGCTTAAAGCATTAAAATTTGGATTTTATATAATGCATCTTGCATTGTTGGTATGTCTAATCAGTTAATCTTGTATTTCTAGCTCTTTAGCTAGTTTTCTAAAATTTGAATGCTTAAGAAGACAAAGTACTTTAGCCTGATTTCAT